TTAACGAACTGCAGTTGTGCACAGCAGTTGCACGAGTCCCGTTGCTGAGGCCTAAACCCCGCTGGCAGTGCTGGCTGAGCACTCCGAGCCCTCGAGTGGTTGAGTGCCGTTCCCTCCTCAGACAGAGGGTCAGGGGTCTGCCTTTCCTTTTTCAGAAAAGCTGAGTGATGGGGGCAGAATCTGTCATCAGATGGCTTTTGGTCTGGCCTTCAGTCAGCGTGCTTCCCCTTGCCTCAAAGCCCCAGAGCACACAGCTTGTCCTAGCACTTAAACCCCCGCTTCTACAGCCGTTTTTACCAGGGCTGCTGCCACTGGGTCCCCGTTGCCCTGGGAAAGATGTAGCTGTGCCCAATGGCCGGAGCGCATTTCCCGAGGAGAGCTGTTTATCTCACCAACATTCTTCTGTGCAGAGACGTCTGACAGCTGAGCAGAAGAGCTGCCATCCCGAATCAGAGCCAGAGCCTGTCCAGGCCGGCCTCCCCTCCCTGACAGGGCCCAGCCCCACATGCTTCAGAGAAAAACGCATTTCCATCATGATGGGAAATAACTTCCCCTTGTGGTGAGTTCTGCGCCAATCCCAAACACTTGCTGGTTGATTTGGGGAAGAAGCACAAGACCAAATGTTTCTTTGCTATTTTTTTTTTTTAAATCTCAGGTAATTTAACGGTAAATATTCTGAGCAAAATTCAGCTCTGGCCGTACCTTGAATTGTTAATGAACTCTACCATGGAACTGCATTGTGGCAGCAGACTTCTTGGGTTATTGAACAGTCATAACCCTCGCAGCCTTTTGCAGGATAATTAGTTGTCTGATAAAGGAAGATATATTCAAAGGCAAAGGAGGATCTGGTACAAAGTCTGAGCTGTAGTTTTAAAGCTGTTTTGTACTATGGGCCATTAACATTTCTATTTTCTTTCTTCTTTCAGGGATCTCCCCTCATTATTCTTCATTACATTAGATTTGACCTTTCTTTGTGTATCTACTCAATGTTTATCTTTTCCAGAAATGCCACTACCTACAGATTATTATTTTCCATTTCCTTCTTTATGCACTTAATAAATGGATCGGTGGTAAACTCTGACCATAGATGCTACAGTTTTGAAAGCGTGACCAGCGCTTGCAAATGGTGACTCCTAATGCTGAACACCAGAGAGATCGCGCCGAAGCGTGGGATGTGCTCGTACTCAACCAGATGCAGCACTTCTGCCATACACGGGTCTCTTTTGTTAACTAAAATTAACTGGCAGGTGTTTCTGGCACCGTGCTGCTGCTGTTTCCAAAATGACAGCCTCTTCTTTTGCATCCCCAGGAGATCACCTGAGAAATGGTACAGCTTTTGCTAAATGCTGCTTTTGCTACTCACCTTCCCCAGCCTGTGGAGGGCTCTTGACACCTCAAGCGCTGCCGTGTGCCCTCTGAAACGACAAACCCCCATTCCCAGGGGTAGGAAGGAAAGTTTTTCCTGCCAAGTGCCCACTTGCTCATTATCAACAGGCAGCACACCGGCCTCTCTCTTGCTGGCATAGGAGACCCACTGATGCTCAAAAAGCCAGGAAAAGCCATGTCCTTCTGCCCATCTCCCTGTCTCATGCTAGAACTGGTCACCAATGCCTCTTTTCTCTAATGACATCGTGATGTATGACCCTCACATAGAATCATAGAATCGTTTAGGTTGGTTTTCCAACCCTTAAGATCATCAAGTCCAACCGTTAACCTAACCCTGCCATCCCACCACTAAACCATGGCCCTAAGCACCACTTCTACCCATCTTTTAAACGCCTCCAGGCATGGGGACTTGACCACTTCCCCCGCCAGCCCATTCCAGAGCCTGACAACCCTTTCTGTGAAGAAATTTTTCCTAATGTCCAACCTAAACCCGCCCTGGTGCAACTTGAGGCCATTTCCCCTCATCCTGTCGCCTGTTACCTGGGAGAAGAGACCGACACCCCCCTCACTACACCCTCCTGTCAGGCAGCTGTACAGGGCGATAAGGTCTCCCCTCAGCCTCTTCTTCTCCAGGCTAAACAACCCCATGGTCATCACCGTGTCATTTGCAGCTTTGAGGAGTCCTTGTTATTAATGGCGTAACTGCAGACAAACTGATCTCTCTTCTCCAGCATGAATCTTATTTTCTGTAAGTGTGCCACAAAATTTAAAAATATATTAGTACTTTTTCTGGCCAATTCTGCCTCCAAAATGCGGAGTGGGGTGAGCATGGCAGGAACCCCCTCCTCCAGACTTCTGTCCAGGAGAATCGGCGATTTCTGGAGTGCCGTTTCCAACATATATCGTGTAAACTGCAATTACAAGATCCATGTAAGCACATCGGTGTTTTTCAGATACCTCAGTGTTACTGGGATATTCAAAGGGCCCACCAGGACCTGCAGACAGTTTGGTATCCCAGATTTTAATTTTAATAATTTCTTATTTTCAAGACTGCTTTAGACAAACTGCATTTGACAGTCATGCGCGCAGAGTCTGAAACCTACGTAATCCTTGGGACTACTCGTGGATTTGCGGAACACTGCCAATAGACAGTAACAAAGGTTTATAATGAAAAATACCCTAAAGGAGTTACAATTTCCATTGATATTTTTCCCAGGTCAGTTGTTGGTATCTGTATTTCTGTATCATCAGTCACATTTTAGAGGAAAATCTGCTAAATATGAGTTAAATAAGGCTAAATATTCTGCTAATGATGGATTAAATACCTCTAACAAGTGCAACCAGTGCATTCAGTGAAGATCTAAATAGAATCATGCTGTACACCTTAGCTCCCTTTCAACTTCTCCTCCTTTCCTGGAATGTAATTAGGCTGGAGCCTTGGGGACACACTCATTGCTAACCAACATCTCAACGATCTTGCTGGAGCCAAAATATATGTCAAGTCACAACCGAGTCTGAGGCACCAACTCTAAAAATAGATTCAGATTTCCACCGTTAGGTGCAGTGGTAACGTGAATTTGGATTACCAAGAAAAGATATCTTAAGGAAAAAGTCGCCCTTAAAAATAATTCCCAAAATATAATCTTAAAGCTACCAGGAGACAAGAAGGATAACTGAGACCCACTCAGAAAATGTAGTCATTTTTTCTCTCCGCACGCTGTGTTAGAGCCCGTGAAGAATACGGTTAGTGACTAATTTACATTTCCTGCTTTATAGCCCTTATAAACCAGCTGCTCTGAAGGGCTGGTGCATTTACGCCCTGGAAGACATTCGGCCCAAGCTCAGGAAACTGTGGTTCAGCTTCCTGCTCCGGCAGCGGTGGCTGT